CATATTTGCATGGCTATATCCATATCTAGCTAATGTTTGTTTCCTTGCAATATAAATACAGTATCAATGCAGATCAAGGCACGACGATCAAATCCTCCATTAATAGCCATAGTTCTTGTTCATTTGTACACATTGTTATTTTCACACAAGCCTTATTATTTGACCAAATCGTATTCCACGTTATCTGGACAGTATATTTTTACAAAAATCATGACGGGTATTAAAGAAATATTCAATAGTATTATTGACTTCCTTTAATAGACGTTGATAAAAACATTCTCGAGTGCCCAGTCAGCCGACATCACAGCCGGAAAAGAAAAGGTGGCTGCGCTTTTGCTGTAATTTCCGGTGACGATTTTGATTGGTCGAGAGAACAAAAGGCTTTGTAATTTTGCTACTTTATTTACACGTTCTCTGTTCATTTCCTTGCTTCCCCCGTGCATATTTCAGATATTTTGTACCTATTATAATTTTAAATCATTATTATAACATACATAATATTCATAAGTGTCAATTATGGTTTGCTGACCTTTAATCCTTTGCTCTCTCAGCTATGCTTACTATTGATAGAGGCCTAGATTCTAGAGATTGATTCAACATTAATTGCTGGATCACTCATCAGTTAAAATTTTCGATTTGGATATTTACTGTAAATATTGAACGAACTCAATATAGGAATCCCAATCCTAATCCCCCCCGTCTTAATTTAACGCTAATGCTAATCCTAAGCCCGTACAAACAAGCAAATGACAAGTTTTCTTTTGTTCGTGTAAACGAAATGTTGTCAATTTAATAAACATTTATCTTACACTTGTCAAGCTTTCCTTGGCGGCCGTACGCACGAGCAAACTTTTTTTGTCCAAAAGCTGACGTAACCAGCTTTGGAACACGGCACCTTCAGTGCCGTAGCCAGAACGATAATTGGGGGGGGGGCACATATTCATATATTCGTGTTTGCTTTTTGTTCTTTTGAAGTCAATTGTTTTATGGTATGAACACGAATATGTAATGTGCCCCCCCCAATTATCATTCTGGCCACGGCATTGGGCACCTTGGCGGACTTGGCCAAATTTTGTCAAGGAAAAAATTCCAATTCCAATCCAACCCTACTAATCAAGCCCACGTACTCTTGTGATGTCATTTCCCAATATTACTGTAATTGCATGGCTGGGGACGGGGGAATTTCGCCCTGCTTCTTTTTCCTATCACTCGCCCGTCGATCCCCCACTACCGCTGCGCAGGCTACCTGGAAAGTCACTCATACACTTTCCAACATTTCACACCAAAATATGTCTGAGTAGTCTATGCCTATGGACTTTTGCTATCTTTGATCTGTTTTCTTCTATTTTTATTCATTGTATTCATGATCCATTTAATTCTGTGGTCCTAAATAAGTAAATTATAATAAATAATGTTCTAATCGCATATCTGACGGTCTTAGCCCGTTTTAGAGGTCGGATATATCTCCATTTTAATTTGGGGGCATTAACGTTAGGGTCTGTACTGTATAAAAACCGAAAAACCGCACAAAAAATTAGCCAAAACCACAACACATGGCAATAAACGTCTATTGAAAAACCGCATACATAACTAGACTTTATTGAGTTAGCGTTAATAGGCCAGTAAATTCTCCCGTAAATTAGGGAGAATTCGCGAGCTGCGCACAGCTATTAGCCGCGTTCACTACAGAGGGTTCACTGATTTGACTTCATTATCGCTACCATTGTGGGCCCATTAACCAATTAGATGCGTTTAATCTACCCGATTAACCAATCAGACGCGTACTAAGCCAGTAAAGTGGAGTCGATCTCGAGCGGCTGATTACATGGGGAGTTTTCCGCCCGGGCTGAATTTCAATCCGGTTATTAACCTAGCTGAAATTGTTTCACGATTACACGACAAAGTTCAGTCCGGGGTGAGTTAGAATTTTAGTTAAAACCTTCAAACTGGGGTGAAATCTCAGCCTGGGCTGAAACAATCAAATCTCAAAATGGAGCTATTCCGCTTCTTCCATAAATTTAAAATGTTGTTCATGTCTATTATTTGATTTCTGCGAGACTGTGGTTGCATTTAAAAGTAGAACAGATAGAAATAAAACCCCTAAGCTGTTTTTCAACTCAGGTTAAAATTTTCCGTCGATTACATGACGATTTTCAGCCCGGTCAACCGCGATGAAATTTTCAGCCTGGGTAAGCCTGGGTAACTTCAACCCTCTCTCCTCCGCAGAGGTTATTTATTCTATTTATAATGTTCTTCGGTTCTCTTCGGATAGTTCTCGGAGTTATTGCCCGCGTTAGTCCAGCGCCCTATCGCGATTAACTCCGAGAACTAACCGAAGAGAACCGAAGAATATTATAAATAGAATAACTAACCTCTGCGGAGGAGAGAGGCTTTAATTGGGCTGAAACTTATCCCGGGCTGAAAACTCTCCATGTGCAGGGACGTCGCAAAGGCGTCAACATTGGGGGTTCTGTCATGTTTTGACCAACTTTTCCTGGATCGGAATTTTTACCAAGTCGTAGAAATGTTTCCCGAAAATGTCGTCCGGGGGAAGGGGGGGGCGGCAAACAAATTTCCGACTAACTTAATTAATTAAAGCTTCACTGGTTTTTTCGCCCAAAATAAGCAAGGCTTGCAATTCTTTCAGTGCAAACATAAACCAAAGCTCAGAAATTGTTAATTTGTTACATGTACAATAGATCCATGGCACATGACGTCACAGCGCCGGTTATGATGCATCTGGAGGATAAATTAGAATCTATGCATGACAGTATAACTCTTGTAAACAAAGCAAATTTTATAAAAGTTTGCTAATTTTGTATTAAAATGGTTAATTTTTGCGCTGTATGTGATTGTTGTACCCAAACAGATATTGTTAGAGAGCATCTGGAGGACACTCTAAGGATTTGTGACTTCAGTGCAATGGGTCTATTGCGAACGATTTAATAACTTTCAGCAACTTTGACCATTTTATCTCAAACTCTGACCAAATTTTACCAACTTTGAACTTCAATTATAGGCAAATATTTTCCATTTTGACCAACTTTGACCAACCCCAACGTTTTGAATTTTTGAATTATTGAGGTGTTGCATCCCTCGTCCCCCCCCGGTAGCGACGTCCCTGTTCATGTGATCAGCCCCTGAGTCGTTGCGAAACCACAGGAAGCCCAATAGCCAGGAGTGATAAATATTTGACTTAACTTTTAATAAAACTGTTAAATATGGCGAAAAAATAAACAAAAGTGTTTAGCAGTAACAATGCATTTCTGCTGGTCGGATTCTCTGCTAGGGCGACGCTGAGGCAACCAGAACTGCGATGCAGAAATGCATTGTTAACATTGTTTAATATTTTCGCCATATTGACAGTCATTATTAAAAGTTTGAATATTTTAGTCAAATATTTAACAATGGCAAAAGCGGAAAATCCCAACGCCCCCTCATCGTTGCTTTTTATACACTGTTTTCGGTCGCAGATTTTTTCAAACTTTGAACCAGCTTGAAGGCCCCAATACCGACCGTCAGACCTCCAGGGACTTCTGAAAAACCGATGGAATACCGCCGGTCCCTTCGTCTGTCCCCGAGAGAGGAGGACTTCCTTTCCACGAAAATCTCTGCGGAGGAGGAGTATAAAAGATTCGGTGAAACACTCTTTGTGTAAGCTTTTTTATATCTTTGAAACGAAATCGAATAAAAAATATCGATATGGCATTTATAAGAAAATGGCAGTTACCAAGTTTGTCGAAGACAGACTGACGGTTGACGGTATGGAGAAAACAAACACGGCGGATATTGCGGTTTGCGCGGGCGGTAATTATGCGAGCTGTTTGTCCATCCGCTCCAGTGAAATGGATCTGATAACTGGCGGAATACATATTCATGTTTGGCAATTGACAGTGCTCTTCCTACACGTGAAAAGACTGGGACAGACCCACCTTCCACCGACACTATATCCCATCTGAAAATGCGTTTCGGTAATGCGTAAGTTTCGGTATTAAATCTGCAATTTTTTCAACGTATAAATATTTAAACATGAACTTGTGGTTAGAGTTGGACCGACTGTCTCTCTGTAGCTCAGTTGACAGTTTGTTAGAGCGCTGCACCGGAATCGAAGTTCGATTCCTGCCGGAGGACTGATTTCATTTTTGACTCACGGACGTTGCGAAGCAATATCTGTGAGTCTTTGTGGTTACTTGAGTGTGGGGCAGTTTGCAGCCTGCTTTGCGCGCACTGTTTGCTTGCGAATATCGCACCTTTCAGAACCGGAAATTGGGCTGGAGCACGTGTTCGTTCTTTTGATCTGGTACAAGAAGTAGGACAAATGGCAAAATTCGCACGGTGCCTGTTTGCAAAAACAACTGCAAACTGCTCTAATTCTTTCTGTCACTTTCATTTGATTTCATCCGTGAGTTTGATTTGCAACTGCTCCCGGTCAGGTCTAAAATAGACTGCGAAGAGGGGAAGGCCGGCGAGAGGGGCAGGGGGAGGGTCAAAATACCTGGGGTCCGGAGTGCTCAGAGGGGCCCGGAAATCTCAATTTCTTGCAAGTAATTCGCTGGCGATTCCGTCGTTGATTGCGATTAAAAAAAGACTTTGGTGTGGCCATCAGCGTGAGACTTAAGAGGGACGGGGGTCCGCGTTCACCAATTTGTCCCGGGGCCCGTGGTTGGCTATCACCGGCCACAGTGGAAGGGGGACCCCTCTTTTCCGCGGGTTTAGATTGCACATCAAGAAACGAAATACGCGTTTCCCACACAACGCAAAATTTCCATTGGTCGAAATCGACACGCCTTTCAATCAAATCTGATACGTAGTAATTATGCTATAAATAATTTCCAGACTGAATGTTGATTTTATAAATAAACATGACATTAACGTTCCTATTGGATAAATTTAAATGGCTCTGGGTACGAAATTGTCCGAGGGACTGCACGCGGTCTAAAACTATGTCTAAAACTATTCCTGGGTCTTGCGTGTTTCCCGCATGAAACCCGCGTAGACACGAGTGAGCGCAAAATGGCGCAAAAGCGCGGGAACTTGAACACAAATAAACAAGATGGCCGACGAAACAAGCGTACAAAATTCCCAATATAATCAAAATGATTTGCCAGAATTACTGAAGCAATACTATAAAAGAATATTTCCATATAAACTGTATTATCAGTGGCTTAGTTATGGCGAAGGTGAGAAATGTCTTAGTATAAATAGTTATTACTATTATTGACTTCGTATTAAATTTTATGTGCACAGACAGCACAGTGTACCCAGACTGCAGAGTATGGCAGTTTTCGACGAGATCTCGGGTGTGCAAGACAAAAATTCGGGTGTGCAAGTGTGCAATCCTCAGTTAACGTAGTCAAGTGTGCACTTGTAAATAGCTACATGTTCTAATGATATTATTAAAACAATGATTGTTTATTTGTACAAATAACTAAAATTTCTGCCTCTCAGGAAAACAAAACGTGGTCCAAATTCTGACGAACAAACCGAAGAATATATATTTCGATCGGAGTTAAAAGTCATTATGAACACGTACAAAATAGCGTGTTTTTGACACACTTTGTGTCCTGTAAAAGGAAAATGTGCATGTCCTTGTAATTGAGTTGTAAATGGAAAAGTGTGCACTCGAAAATGCCATTTCCGACAATGTAGGGACTCCAAATTTCAAAAATTTTCCGCTCGGCGCCAACCATGGTGGCGCCTCGAGAAAATCGGACCAATTATAAGTTCTCTTGTGCCCATGCTTACATGCTATAGATAGAAATTCGAAACTTTAATGGACATTTTTCATTTGCGCCCATGAATCAGCGTTCCCGATTTTCAGGTGGTTGTTATATTATACTTGTCTTAGAAGTCCTTATTTTAATGCCTGACAAAACTGGAAAATATTTGAAATATGTTTAAGTGTGCAATACCATTGGCCAAAAAAAATCTCGAGTGTGCACTTGCCGTACTCTGCAGTCTGGCAGTGTACCAGTACCAATCATACCAATACCACATACTAGCCTGAAAAGTTTTATTTCGGGCAAGAAATATTTTTTCATTGGGAAAAATGCGCAGAAATGTTGGATATTTTCACAGGAAATTTACAATTGACCAAGTATTTTTTTCAATAGAAAGAACTGAAAGATCAGAAATCTGCTATTCTGTTTGGTTCACCGTTCACATTTCACAAAGCCTGAAAGCCCGCCACAAAGGCATTTTGTGCAGATTCTTCAGAAATTGTTTGCAGTTTTTTACAATTTGAGGAATTTTGCACAGATTTTCATAATTGCAAGAATTTCTGCACAGGAAATTAATTTCCTCCAAAGCCAAAACCAAGGGTGGGTTGTAAGATACAATATTATAAAATAACATGTATATAACGCGTGCTCTGATTGGTTGAAACCCGTGTTTGGATCAGGCCATCCGAACATGGAAATTTAAAATGAAATTTTTTTGAAGTGAGATTTTAATACGGAAAGTTGTTATTTTATAAAACAATTACTTTATGGTTTCTGTGTTTGGATGGCCATATCCAAACACTTGGGAATGTTGCTCGGGGTAAGAAAATCGTGCAAAATCACTTGCCTTCGGCTTGTGATTTTGCGCACTTTTCTTAACTCTCGCAACATTCCTGTGTGTTTGAATCAGGCCATCCAAACACGGAAACCATAAAGTAATTGTATAATCTGTTTACGCGTTCAGTAGATTGATAAGAAATTTGGAAAGTAGAGAATAGCTGTTGTTGCTTAAAAAGTAATCAACTACTTCGCTTCTGAAAAAACGTAGTTCACTACGGCTACTGTTTTAAAAAAGTAGTCAAAAACTACCCCATACTTAAACATTGTTACTCCCTACAGTAGCGACAACATGCAACTACTTCACTACACCTCTTAGTCCATTGCCAAGAACCTCAGAGTTTGATAAGGCTTTCTTACATTGCCAGTGCTCAGTCTCTTAATATTGTTGTATACCACTTTATAGCCAATGAGCTGAGTTCTCCGAGGTTGCATAGACAGACCATCCTTCAAGACGACCTGCATATATGTACATTTGTACAAAACTTCACAGTCTTTTTGTACAAAGCATCACAGATATGTCATCTTGACAAATGATCCACATGCTTGCCATGTTTATGTCAGTGACAGCTAGCTAGTGGTTGATATACTACTTTTCCAGAGCTGCCAATATTGATTGACCGACAGGGGCGTCATGGGTTCCCATGTTTTTTTTGGGGGGCAAGGGCTGTATTTTTCTGACAAACTCAATTGGAAAAAAAAAATTTCCATACAAGAACATTTTAATTTATCTCCGAATGAGTGAGAAACATTTGTACAAAACTTCACAGTGTATATGTACAAAGCATCACAGATATGTCATCTTGACAAATGATCCACATGCTTGCCATGTTTATGTCAGTGACAGCTAGCTAACTAGTGGTTGATATACTACTTTTCCAGAGCTGCCAATATTGATTGACCGACAGGGACGTCATGGGTTCCCATGTGTTTTTTTTTTGGGGGGGGGCAAGGGCTGTATTTTTCTGACAAACTCAATTGGAAAAAAAAAATTTCCGTACAAGAACATTTTAATTTATCTCCGAATGAGTGAGAAATGATGTGGGGCCAGCTAGCCAGTTATCTAAGCCTGGAGTTAATGGCTGTGCTGGCATTAAAAATAAGCTCCATTTGAAGATTGGCTATACTTCCACAAAATAAAACCTACAGGTTGCGATCAGTGTGGTGGATGTTTTCTGGAGAGATCCAGTGATGTTGCTAATATATGTGAAAGTTTAATTATCCCATTAATTAAGCTGCAATCTGCCAAAATGTACCCCACTTTATTATTTTACTCTAATGCCAGACATTGTTTTGGTGCCCATCCTTATGAACTTTCAAATACACTGAACATAACAAGTACAAAGATCACAGCAGTTTTAGTAAGAATACTGTTTACCCTTTCAGGTTACGTATTAAAAACTTTGCCAATACTACTGTACTTAGATGAATTAATTTCTTTTCTGCAGTTGTGTCTCCAAAGTATTTTTCTCATCGTGAGTTTTCGTTCACATTGAAAGACGATATTTACATACGATATCAATCATTTTCTGATCAAAAGGACATGGAGAAAGAAATTCAAAAAAGATGTCCCTACAAGATTGATATTGGTGCTGTCTTCTCCCAAAAGGTACAGTGTGTATATTTAAAATGTCATTGAAAAATTTCCAAGACCCCTAGAATTGTACTGATGATATTCATGTTAACTTGGCCAGTGGGGTAGGAAGGGGGGGGGGGCACTGGGGGCATGTGCCCCCCCCATGTTTTCAAAAGTGCCCTTTTTTGGTTGCAAAGTGCCCTTTTTTGGTTGCAAAGTGCCCTTCTGTCTGACAACGTTAACAATTTCGTTGAGATCGAAAAAATTTTTATTTTATGGAAAAATTTATCATGTGTCCGAACAAAATTTTATTATTTTTGAAAAAGTTATGATATTTCTGGAAAAATTTTGTTATTTTCAGAAAAAATTATATGTCTGGAAAAAATTATTACATGTCCGAAAAATTTTTTGAGTAGACCTCCACCCGCCCCAACTTTTTGATGCTTCCTACGCCACTGAACTTGGCCAAAGGAAAGATAGTTCATCTTTAAAATTTGTCTGGGTATAAACAGAAACAAACAAAAAGATGGGTCATCCCTCAAGAACAACTTTACCAAACATAACACAACCAGAACACCAAGAGAATATCAAGCATCATACCCTACCCCACCCTCTCAGAAGGGGGGCCTAGGTCTGCCCTATAATAGAACTGCCCAAGACTATTTCAAAGCTCAAACCACTGTATTTCAAATTTTGTCTCAATGTTCCCTCACAACTGTTTTGATTACCCATACAGGGGCGAAACTTGAGGGGGGTATGGGGGGGGGGGTGTCACCCCCCAAGATACGAATTATCCCGATTGGCAGGGCAATTATGAGTACAATTTTAAGTGATAGAATGTAGAGTTATTAGTAGCTTATAGAATGTAGACTAGATTATAACAGTTAGCAAACAATAAGCAGTTGGACAGTTTGTATGCATATACATTGGCATCAGCAGTTCAATTATACACGTAGCGTAGTGATGTATTGTATTAGTGCTGCAGGCTGCAGGGCATCATTGGTTTTGGCAGGGCAATTCTGCCACACACACCCCAAATGAAAAGGGGCTAGTTTTGCCCCTGTACCCAGCCATACAATGCTTAAATAAAAACAGAAAAAAAACATTGATCATAATGCATTGCATGCCAATTCTTAATTAAATCTCTTTTTCTAGTACACACCAACTTGGATTTGAGTCTGTAAAATTGGGTGATTTGAAAGAACGACAAGTTGACTAGACAAAATCCCTGATCACTTAAGCACTGTATACACCTAATAATATGTGCTGAACCTCACAACTAAATAATACAAGTTGACTTGTAGCAATTAATAACAGCATCTATTCTATGTCCGCTATGTTCATGAGTATTTTTTTTATCTTCAAGCCAAAAGATAACAAGTCAACAAAAACAAGGAATTTTCACGCAGAGGAAAAAGAGCTAGTTTTTGATATTGATATGACTGACTATGATGAAGTGAGAACATGCTGTTCGTAAGTTTAGAAAATGAACATTCTTCTGAATTATTTACAGTAGACCTTTATCAAGCCTTAATTCTCTCAAAAAGCTGGAGGAAATGTAATGTGCCAAGCTCCCTACATGTTTATAGCCTATCGTTATTCCCACAACAGACTCCCCCTTTGATGTAGAATTTTACCTGCCTTGCTTAATGTTCAAGTATCGTAAAAAATAAAATATTTGTATCCTCTTTCTTGAAGTGGTGCAAGCATCTGCAAGCGATGTTGGCCTTTCATGATTGTTGCTATGAAGATTGTTGACAAGGCACTAAAAGGTATGATATGACAGATTAGATTTTCTTCATGAATACAGTATTTTACATGTAGAATGTAGATATAAATTTATTAGATTTAGATTCACATTTATTCATACAGTACTCATCCTATGGTTGCAATCAATTCTAATCTTTCTCTAACATGGATACTTCTTCAGTAGAGACACCTCTCTAATACGGACGTCTCTCTAATATAGAACACCTCTCTAATATGGACACCTTTGCTAATACAGACATATCACTAATACAGACACCTCTCTGATATGAACACCTTTTAAATAAATACAGACACCTCCCTGATGCGACACCTCTCTAGTACAGACACCACTCTAATACAGACATCTCTCTAACACAGACACCTTTCTAATGCAGATACTCTGTAATACCAACACCTTTCTAATGCAGACACCTCTCTAATTAGGGGTGCACCGGAACTCGGTTCGGCCGGTTAGTTCCGGCCGGAACCCCGATTTTTTAGAGTTCCGGTTCCGGCCGGAACTAGTAAAAAAAGCATGGCCGGAACCGGAACTCTGTTGTTTTCAGAGAGATAGAATATCAAACATTTTTGTGTCTAACAGAAGGTCACAGTAGGAAGAAATTTGGACTACGCAAGGGAAATGTACACTACTAACACTTCATTATGACGTTTAACGCTTGTCAATCTTTTTATTCTAACATTTGCGAGCTCTCTCCTTTATGACTTGAAGTGTCTGCCTGTCTGGCAGCGGACAAAGTAACATATGACTATATATGGCTTAATAAATTAGTTCCGGTTCCGGCCGGAACTTAGAATACTGGTTCCGGTGCACCCCTATCTCTAATACACCTCTATCATGCCTGTATATTTAGTTTTTTTGCAGGTAGCCAAAAAAATTTTGCAATTAGTTTGTGGAAAATTTAAGTATTTTTTTAGTTAGTATGCATAAAAACTTCAGAGTTCAGACAAGGATTGCAGTTAGCTTCAGACACTTGCAGGTAGCGCCACTACCTAGGATATACCCTGTTTTGACAGGCATGGCCTCTGTAATACCGATACCTTTCTAATACAGAAACCTCTCTAATCGAGACACCTTTCTCACCTTTCTAATACAGACACCTCTCTAACACAGACAACTATCAAATATTTACACTTCTCTAATACAAACAGCTTTCAAATACCAATATCTCTCTAATGCATACATGTACTCCTCTCTAATACAGACACCTCTCAAAAATGGACACCTCTCTAATAGGACACCTGTCTAATACAGACATCCCTTTAATACAGACATCCCTCTAATACAGACACCTCTAATATAGACACCTGTCTTATGTGGGCACATCTCTTATGTGGACACCTCTCCAACATGGACACCTCTCTAATACAAACACATCTGTAATATGGACAACTTTCCAATTTTGACACTTCTCATAGACATTTCGCTCTGATTCAAATGTAGTTTAGCAAAGCCTATAAATGTTCCTTATATATAGAGGACTTTGATTTTGAACATCGTCTTTGGGTGTACAGTGGTCGTCGAGGAGTTCATTGTTGGGTTTGTGATGAAACTGCTCGAAAGTTATCCCAGGCCTCAAGGTCTGCAATTGCTGAGTATCTCAGTGTTATTAAGGTTTGTGTCTGTTTTGAATCCGAATTTTTTTTAATGTATTTAATTTCAAACAACCTGATTTTGATGGTATTTCAAAAATCCAGAGCAGGGAAACGACCCGAATCACGAATAAAACCACACATCATTTTTCCCCGCTACTTTGGTTTAAGTAAATGAATGAAATGCAATTCGACTGGGTATGGCCTTAGCTGAATTCGTATTCTTAGAAGATGTACAGTACATTACTTCCGTCTCGGACGGGAAACTGGTCGAAAGACATTTTGCCGAAAGACATTTTGCCGAACGGACATTTTGCCGACGGACGTTTGGCCGAACGGACGTTTTGCCGAACGGACATTTTGCCGAACGGACATTTTGCCGAATGGACAGTTTGCCGAAAGGACAGTTTGCCGAAAATAGAGATGTTATTTCGTCAAAATGTTTGGGACTGTGACTCATTTCTCAACTGTGTAATTCTCAACCATTGTGTAAAATAACCATTATATGGTCATTACTAGTGCATAATACTGTAGGTCATTAGCTGTAAACTTTTACCTTGACATTCATGAATGATGTTCAATGATGTTATTCTTTATATCGCGAAATTTCGGTAAACTTGTCAAAAACTTGAAAGAATATAAAACAAAACTACACTTCACTATCAAAGTTTCTGTTATCAAAATCGACAATGACTTTAATCACAGAAACTTTGATTGTGTAAGCGAACTTTTAAACTTCAGAAGATATCTCTATTTTCGGCAAGTTGTCCGTTCATCAAACTGTCCGTTCGGCAAAATGTCCGTTCATCAAAATGTCTTTCGGCAAAATGTCTTTTGGCAAAGTGTCTTTCGGCAAAATGTCCGGCCACCGGGAAACTTGTCTCAGACAAGAAGTTCGTCCAAAATTGAATTTGGTAAACGGTTTTTCCCTTTATACAGTACAGTATATATTTTTTAATTGTACCTCTTTTGTGAATTGTCCGAACTGATGATACAGTAAATTCTAAGGCAAAGTTACTATCTGGCTGGCTAACAGATATGTATCAGAAAAGTATCCTGCGTGATTATCCGGCTGGCGTTATTGGTTATATAAGGTTCAGGCCTAATCATGCAAGGTTAAATAATTAATTTCATTGGTAACAAAGTGATTATGGTGTTTATAGCATTTTGACTTGAAATGATAGGAAAGAACTCGTCAGCCCAACATTGATAAACATGTTGATAAAGCCTTGATAAAGCCAACATTGATAAAGCCTTGTTCAAAATGTTCCAATTTCCAGTCCACTTTTTCGTATTTGTAAGAGAGCATGAAAAATCTTGAAAATAATGCCTGCTTCTCTACGATAATTTCAATTTAAAATATGATAAATAATCGTACTGTTTAATTAGTCATATTACATCATTTCTAACCTGAAAAGAAGGCCTCAACCTTAAATAAACAATATCTGGTATCAGGCCGGACACCGGATAATGAGATTATCTCACTAACTGGCCCGGATATCATCCAGTGCATCCCTAGTTATCGGTTGGCAATTAATGGATATTGATGTTTTGTTGTTAGGGTGGTGAAAATCAAGTGAAAAAGGTTCACCTTTCCTCCAAGCTTCATCCTTCCCTCAGGTATATCATCATGAAACACTTTTGTTCCCTAATGTATTCTTTAAATTTATAAATGAACTACAGTATAAAGAGGCAGCGCACTTTGTGTAGAGAATGTGTGCCTCCTGCAGCTGTTTCTGTCTCAGCCTATAAAGCCGCAGGGTGCGATAATTCGCGTACCAACGTACCGGAGGTACGCCAAATTTATGGTCTGGTACTTCTTTGTTTTTAGGCAAGTACCACGTAGGTACGCGGAAATTTGCTATTCGCGTACTTACATTTTCCTTCTAGCAATAACTACAGACCTGCCAAAGTATTCAAAACCGTGAAGAACTTTAGCTGTACATGTAAATTCCACGCATCTGACATATTTTGGGATGAAAAAGCCAAAAGGTTATCTTTGCGCTTGATCAAAAAATTTATCGTCATCGTCCGACTGAATAAAAATCGCTCGGGTGAGCGATTTTAAAATCGTTATCGTCAAACGCCGATAATGCCAAAACCATGAAAAAATATTCAAAAAAATTTTTTATTTCCGACCTACCTACCCTAATTTTTTCGCGATATGAAACCGGAACCAGTAAACTATAGGTATAAAAACGCATGACTCGAAAGTAGTCTTAGGTACGTCTTGACTCTTAAGTTTGTACCAGACCAGGTACGCGGCAAAAGTTGTCGGAGTACCAGTCAGGTACGACTAAAAATATTGAATTATCGCACCCTGATAAAGGCCCATTTCCACTCAAGAAAAATTTCCACGGACAGAACATTTTTCGAAAATGTCATTGTTTAAAGTGGAAAAATTTCAACTTCAAAATTTTTTCGACGGAAAATTTGTATCGGCCAATCACATTTTACCGAATTTTCCTTCTGCAGAAAATTTTCTGAGTGGAAATGAGCCTTCACTGGTCCACGAATTTTGTCACTGATCTCACCTCGCGCTAGACTTGCCACAAGTCGACCTCGAACGAAACGCGAGCAGAGAGCGCGAACAACGAAGTCTAACCTCGCGCCAGTGTTGTAACGAGTTACCTACAGGTCGAGTCACGAGTCGAGTCACTCAAAGGTCGAGTCGCGAGTCGAGTCACTCGACACGAGTCAATAGCTAAACTTGAGTTTAGTCAGGGAATTTGATTAAGTGATTCAAGTCCACCCCACATTTTCTGTAATGGTTCGGTACCCTGGCTTGCAGTCTGTGAAGTTAGTAATCAATTCACCTTTTAAATTAAAGGAGATTGGCAACAAAAATTGCTTCATCTATCTTATTGCTTCATCTGAAAGAGCATGAAAAAATAAGCCGATTGGCCGTTTAATGCTCTATTCTATCTCATCTAGTTCCGAAGTTATACGCAAAAATGTGAAAATATAAATTGCTGATTCAGCACAACGTGTGACGTCATTAGCTGGGTAAGTATGTTTATTGAATATTACACTGAAGCATAGCTCAGTTATTATGGGCCCAAATCAAATGAAATTTTGCATACTGATTGTACATGATGAGACGCATGGAAAAACACTTCTAATTTTGTTGCCAAGGTAACAATGTCGTTTCCAGGCCCCATGCGCCAATTTTATGAAACAGCTTTATTCAAGGTACTGATAAGAATAAAATAATATCAGAAGTATGTGTATGATACCTATGCATGCCAAAAGTTTACTTGGATGATAATAATTCGAAAATGACATACACATAGATAAATGCAAGTAGTTATTCAAAATCAGTGTAAGAGGCCTGGGAACGACTGTGTTGCCTTGACAACGAAATTAGAAGTATTTTTCCCATGCATCTCATCATGTACTATCTGCATGCAAAATTTCATTTGATTTGAGCTAATAATAACTCAGCTATGCTTTAGTTTACTATTCAATAAACATACTTACCCAGCTTATGACGTCACAGAATGTGCTGAATCAGCAATTTATATTTTGCACATTTTTGCGTATAACTTCGGAACCAAATGAGATAGAATAGAGCAGTAAACGGCCAATCGGCTTATTTTTTCATGCTCCTTCAGATGAAGCAATAAAATCAATAAAAAATTTTGTTGCCAATACCCTTTAAGCTAATTATATTGGTTATTTGATAACAGTATTTGGGCAGCTAGACTGTACCAATATCACAGTTCTAGTCAATATTATATATTATATATCAATAACGTTATTAAGAATTCAAGCTCTTTCATTGGTCGAGAGCCATGATCTAATAGAGGACAGACGCACGGAATTACGTCACACAAAACCTTATGCAATAGCATTTCCTTATTTTTATACAGTAAATCATGTACGCGTGATATTTGTAAAATTTCGACTTTTTTAAATTTCCAAATGTTTGGGTGGATAAAAAGTAAGCTATTTACCTGTTTAATTCGGGTTTTTTCGTTAACTTGTTTACTCGTTTAATTCGGCGGCTCGTGAGCCACTTTTTTGTTCTTGCCACTTTATGACGTCATATTATAGTATGTATCGAAAACTGAACAGACAGCGGCAAAATCTTATCTATTTGTTAATTAATTACGACCACGCGAGGTGTCTCATCATGCCTGCCGATCGAGTGTATATACAACTACAACCATAACTTGCAACTGGATGAGAATTATCAAAGAATAGACTTTAATTAATCACGCTTTGTAAGACAATTTAGGATGACATATAGCACTTCATAAATAACCAGAAATAAAAACAGCCGGTAAAATTGGTAAGTTAGGACTTGATGCAAGTCTAACAAGTTGTTTGCAACATTCAATGTGAAAATTCAATTCATTGATATCATAAAGCACGGAACGAACAACAAAGTCTAAAACTTGGAATGCAAAATTCAAACATTAATTTTGGCGGTAATCACCCTCCATACAGATTTGACTACCGCTGTGCCACGACCTTGCACTGGCTTAGTACACGGATCTGATTGGTTAGTCGGATATAACAAACGCATCTGATTGGTTAATAGTCCGTTAATGGTAGCGGTAGTGAAAATCAAATCTGAATCTCCCTAATATAGCCGTTAATACTGTAAACATTTATTTATTGCTTTTGTATTAAAATGTAAAATTGTGATTTGCAGCCGAGCGTCAAAAATATTGGAAAACTATTTTCCTTTATTAATGTTGGATTATCAAGAAATTTTATCAAGTAAGGAAACCTGGAAAAATGTCTTGGCATTAGTTCCGGATGAAAATATCCTTTTTGCTATAAATATGATGTACTATTTCCTCATTTTCTATAGGTTTTTGCCCTTTGAGTAAGTAAATAAGTACTGTAAGTAAGTAAGTGCAGTGGCGTAACTGGATGGTGTTTGGGTGCCCAGAGGCGCCCCCCCCCCGGCAAAAATGACCATAAATTTTTTCTAGTACATTGGGCAAATTGGCCCGAGCCTCAGTTATAGAGGGTAAGAAAATTTGCAACGGGTGGTCCCCAAAAGCAGGAATTAGTGAAATTTTGAAATTTTGACCCCCTTTTTTGGTAGACATGGATAGGGAAAAATTTTTGTGACTTTTTTACTTGTCATAGTCCAGAAAATTTTTTGAACACCTCAGTTTTTTTCCCAAAATTTAAAATGTTTTAGGGAAAAATTTTTTAGGGAAAAAATTGGGCCCCACTTAAAAATTTGACGGGGGCGTGAGTACACCACTGTTATGCCTCCGTTACGCCACTGAGTAACTGGGGGATGTGCTAAGTCGAAGGCTTACTAAGGGCGCCTCTGGCAGCCACGTTATGACCTGTCTGATCACAGAGCACAGCTACGGTTGAAGGGTCAGTTAGGGGACTAATCCCAACCCACCCTGACAACATTCCCTGTTGGAGGAAACCGGAGCACCTAACTCTTTTCACACAAGTGCCATTAGTCCGATGTGAGGATCGAACCCACAATCTCACAGATCGCTGACCAACAGCATGCAAGTAATCAAATTACTTTACCCCATTTTCTTTGCTGACTCATAAACAAACAAAATTTCTACTTTGCCAGTTTTTTCTAGGACAAGTTTACTTGTTGAAAAGTTAGCGTATACCACTAATACCAGCTTGTGAACAAGGGTACTTGTCATATGGTAAAAATTGGCAACGTTGCCTATACAGACGAGCAAATAAAACTTGTTATACGAAAACTTGGCATAGAAAATTAACTCGCCGGTAACGGGATTAAAAGAATGAAAATTTTGAATGTAGACACAACCATGAAGTAATATATTATACTGAACGCGTGTTATGTAACATACAAAAAAACGTACCCACAATTTGGTCGTTTCTTGTCAGGGGACTCCTTAAAATAAGTTTGTTTTCTTAACATCGGTTCACCCAAACAGAAGCTTGAAACAAAGTGGGAAGAAAACAAGGATGAAACATCTAGGCAGAGATGGGAGGATTTGGAAACTGAATTGGTAATGTCTAATGTACCGGTGATGCTTGTACGAAAGCCGAATAACACTATCCATAGTCTATCAAGATGTGATGGTCTGGACTCTGGAGACTAAATAGAAGTCATTGTATTATGTTTTCGTTTGAGTTTATACATGTTAATTTGTGCATGGTCACGGTGATTGATCTCATTGTATTTTCGTATAATGAAGTAATCGTCCAATAAGGATAGCTGAGATGAAACCATAGGCGTACCGGGCGGGGGGGGGGCGGTAGCCCCCCCCCCAGTTTTTTGGGCAGTCGGGCAATATTCGATCAACAGTCGGGCAATTTTGGTTTGCAATAAAAAAAATGGGACAAATTCTGTCAATTTTGTCTAAAATTAAGTCAATTTTTTTGCAAATTTTGTGATTTTTCGAAAATTTGTGTTATGTTCCGGAAAATATTGGTTGTCCGGAAAATTTTTTTGACCCCTAAAATGGTACACTGACCGAAATTTTTTTGGCGACGGGGGGGGGTTGGGGGAGGGGGAGGTCGCCAAAATAATTTTTCCGGAAAAATTTTTTGGTAGTAGTCGGGCAGAATCCCGAAAAGTCGGGCAATTTTCTTTCCGCCCCCCTAATTTTTTCCTTCCGGTACGCCCATGGATGAAACGTGCAACCACGATGAATAATGATGCTTGTGATGTTACTCTGAGTGTGCATCCACACCGGGCAAGCTGAAAAGTTTGCCTGACCACGGTGGGAATCGAACCCGCGACCTATGGGATACTAGTCCCATGTTCTACCAACTGGTCTACGAGGTCAAGTCGGTTCGACCCGAAGGTCGCGGGTTCGATTCCCACCGTGGTCAGGCAAACTTTTCAGCTTGCCCGGTGTGGATGCACACTTATGGTAACACCACAAACATCATATTCACCTGAGTACATAACACCAACACACACAAAAAACGATGAATAATGTTTAATAAAGTTCAGACAAAGGATTTGTGCACGGTGATGCGCAGTTCAACATCAAGCAAAGACCTTCTATTTTGTAGCTTTGACAATTGCCGAGTTTCCAGACCATCATATCTTGACAGACAATGCACTATCCGCCAGACAGTGATTTTTTAAAACTCTCTAAAATTGTCCGTTGATTGGAATAACCCAGATTAAACTCTAGTATTTATAAGTTAAAGTTTCGTTGCTCTATATCCGTAGTTTTATAACTTTTCAAAGAATTTTTCAGCGGTTGAAAAAATCACTATCCAGTGAATGTTATTGTTTATTTTCAGGAAGCTTTCTCACAAAGTGGTTTTCAGAAAGTTCTTGAACTAAATAAACAAATTACAAGGAAGATATGCATATACTACATAGATTGCTAAACAAGTTTCTCCCAAATGTAGAAATAATATAAGAGAGTTTTATCTTTCTGTCCAAGTTGTTCCAGTCTGTTATGACCTGATAAACGAGACTTTGCTTTCCCCATGCAATTCCTTAACACTTTAGGTGGCCTTAAATTGTCCTTATTTCGCGAATCGTATAGTTGTGTATTTCTCTGTTCGCTAGAAGTTCTCCGGGCTTCGTACAACCAGCCCCATGTAATACCTTTATAGCTATGGTAATAAAGTGTGCTGCAAAGTGCGTGGTATACTTCATTTTTATGTAAATATATTTCATAAACCGGTATGTTTTATCCCTCTAGATACAGCAGAGGCATAGAATATAGAGATTATCTAGTACAGAAGTCCGACTCAACCAAAAAGTGTAACCATTCACAATGATTTGTCTACAAAATGCACTCGTCAAGTTCCTAGCTAATGCACTTATAGGCCCATTTACACGATACGAGTCGTACCGTACACGATTCTTATCCTGTGGTATATACTCGAATAAATGCATGTAAAAATGTTCAAATTTTGCCTTAAACTGATGGACAGGCAGGAATAGTGGGGTCACCAGTTGTTTTCATACGCCAGAATGACAATCGTGTACGACTAGTCGCATCCCCAGTAAACACGAAGCTCTAGGAAGATGTTCTGTGACTGGTTGGCTATGACAATGACAAAAGACGTAATTGGCTTACATAAACAAAAGGAATATTGTTCTTGCTTCGTTCTTTAGAAAATCCATTCTATGACTATAGCTTATTCTTTTGTCATTGTGATAATCAACCAATCACAGAACATGTGTTATATGCGAATATTTTGATGGGGTGAATGCCTCTCATAAGCGCACTGGCTAAGAACATGGCGACAGCATGTGAACATTGCTCGATTTGCAACGGTTACGCCAAAATCATAGGCGTCAACAAGAAATCGGACTTGCACACCCCTCCCCCTCCCCTGCACCACACGGTAGATCCGCCCCCTGTTTTCCATTATTCATGCAGTATTTCGAACATGCCTTTGTAACAATGTGACGAGGAGCAAAATTAGACGAGTCATACCAAGTGTAATTAGGTTGAGAAAGAAAAATTGTAAAACCATGAAGTATTTCATTTACAAAAGAAGCAAATATATTTTTCAGAATGACCCGAAGAAAAAGTCCTGTCGTGAAGAAATCATGTTTCAATATTGTTATCCAAGACTTGACGTGAATGTCACCAAAGGACTTAACCATTTGCTGAAAAGTCCTTTTTGTATTCATCCAAAAACAGGTATACGACCCGTCAGTTTGAATGTTCTTCCATCATAGTGAGATAATGTGGATTTTACCTTCGAAATTTGTGGGCGAGGTTTTGCAACTATGCAAGTTTATCAATATTAGACTGAAGTTCTTTCCTATTATTTCACACAAAACCGGAGCTGTAACTTAACACTTGCCCGGGGTTCGGCTCCACAGAATTTTTTTTTACATTGTCAAAATAATTGATTACTTTAAAGCCAAAAATCTGCCATCTTGAAACGTCATTGTTGCTATAGCAACGGCAGTTGCGTAACTTGTGCAAAAATTCAAATTCGTTAGATGTTGTTTTCTGTAAGCAAGGTACTTTTTGTTTATCAACAAATAATAGTTGTCCAAAAATACGCATCTAAATCGTGAATTTTCCATTTTTGTAAAAACTGTATCGAGCCACCTTAACCTGGAATGTATGTGTTGATTAAGAACGTTATGCTGTACATAAGCAGCTAATTATCATCTGCAGCTGCTTGTCATTTAGTCATATTTCTTTTTCACTGCTTTTAACAGGCAGAGTTTGTGTCCCTATTGACATTGGGAGAGTTGACGAGTTTGATCCTTTCGCAGTTCCCACGATAAGGTAATTTCAGCAATTAACATTTGATGCGTCGATATTTCTAGATCCCATAACATTGATTTCAGGTACTTTTGCGCAGACTTTAATTATTCTTTTAGACTTTGCTGGTTGATACAGTCAACACCAATTTGTACGAACACCTCTCTAATACGGACATCCCTCTAATATGGACTCCTCTTTAATATGAATACCTCTCTAATATGGACATCTTTCTGATACGGACATTTCTCTAACACGGACACTTCTCTAATAATATGGACACCTCTCTAATACGGACACCTCTCTAATACGGACACCTCTCTAATACGGACACCTCTCTAATACAGACACCTCTCTAATACGGACATTTTTTTAATACGGACACCTCTCTAATACGGACAACTCTCTAATATGAGCACCTCTCTAACACGGAAACCTCTCTAATACGGACACCCCTCTAATACGGACACCCCTCTAATACGGACACCCCTCTACAGACACCTTTTTAACATGGACACCCTCTCATATGGACACCTCTTCAATACGGGCACATTTATTCTCTTATTCTAGCCAACTTTGTGAAGAAATTGATGATATAGGCAGAAATGCAGCAACGGATGAAAACCAACCATCGCAAACGCCAAAAGGTTCAGTAAAGAAACGAAACATCCCAAAAACCTTTTTGATCAAAAAATCGGTCTTTTTCTGTAACCCAAAAATTATTTACAAATCTGCAAGAACTCTCAAAAGTATGCTGAATACCAAAGAAGTGGGAGGCGCATGCATACTGTGGTCTAACCACGTGGTCCAACCTTTGGCCATCCAACCTTCGGTTTTGCAAAGTTCAGGTTTTGTCCCAAGCTTTACTCATACTTCTTCAGATTCTTTACCATCTTTTTCTTTCAATATAACAGTCAGTTATTTTCCTAGCCACTTTTTCTGAAATATATTCAGCTCTGTTTTCTTCCATCAAAACAATTGTTTCAAGTCGTAACATAGGAAACGTCAATCCAATTTGTTCCGATCAATGCCATTCATTAATTTACGCCTTTTTTTTCAAATCATCGATCTTTAGGATACAAGAGCGCATTGCTGGAAACCAGTATGAAAGTTTTTGAAACGTTTTTGCTAAAGCTTGACGTTGAAAACCAAGAGCGGTTGAAGCAAGAAAAAAATGAAAGAGGTATTAGTTTTAAGATAATAGCTAATCTTTCATTAAGGCCTCTTTCATTGAGGCTGAGTGCTGAATTGCAAAGGACGCAGTTCGTCGGTTTGAGTCCAAGGTTTAGTTAACATGCGATCATAACGGCTTATTGACCGAGCGATGAAGGAACGAGGTCTGATATTTCACAGTGCACACCGAACAAGCGAAGTCAATAATCAGTTTATTATGAGTCTGTGAGCATGTGCTTTTCGCGCGAATTAAATCGGCTATCGTCAGTTTCACTGGGTAACAATATACGGTAGGCATGCATGCTCAATCAAAAACAATTTAGTTGTTTAAAATTTTATCTGTAAAGCACAATTGGAAATTTAAAAAGCGAAAATTTTTCTGTTTGCAAAGCAAAAATTTCCCGCCAGATAAACGACATCCGGGACACCGGTCCAGATACGGAAAATACGGACCACGGTCCGGATATGGATTTTTACGGACCGCTTGTCAACCAATCAGAATAGAGAATTTTGAAAAGCCATATCATAATACTGTGTATTACATGTACAGAGCCTGGGAACCACACTATAATTTTATATTTAAATTCTGGGTTTTGGTGGATAATCCGAGTGAGCATATATCTATACAGTACACAAGTTAAGACCTAACCAGGAACGGTTGCGAAAAATGCAGCTCTGGCTCCTCTGGTAGGAATAGAACATGCGGCGCTGTGATTCCGAAACAGCGCTGTAACCAACTGCGCTGCTCCGGAATCGCAGAGACGCAGGTTCGATTCCTACCAGAGGGTCTAATGTTGCATTTTTTGCAACCGTTCCTGGTTTGGTCTTAAATCGTATATTCTTACTTTGGTATATTTACCAAATCCCAGCATTCAAGTTCAACCAAGTGAAGTGCAAATAACAGTTTTATATTTAGTTTCCAATCAAAATTTCCCAGGAGATGTGTCAATTTCGTATAACAACAGAAACAATCTAAGTAATGTTTACAACATGAGCGGCCGTGTTGTATCGGATATACAAACTCGAGCCGAAGGCGAGAGTTTGTATATCCGATACAACACGGACGCAAATGTTGTAAACAACTTAAAAAACGACTCATTCATTGGCGAAGTAATTTTAAAAATAAACGTTGTCTAAGCCGAGAAAATCAAAGTTAAAATTTATGTAAATCAACATGAATCTGTATCACATATACAGATACGACACGCTTATGATTTTTCTTTGTGTTTTCTTCATGAATTATTAATGAGTTTTTTAATTGTATTTACAAGATGCCACTAAATATTTCATTATCTAATTAGCATTGCTTGCTCCCAGGCTAAACGATACATTAAATATGGCCTGATACTCATGCTAGAAATAACCAATCAGAGCTACATTTTTCTTCCCCCGCCCGCTTTGAGAAAGGCCTTACCGCAGGTTAAGGTTTACATCATAAGACCCATGTTATAATCACGAAGCAAAGCTGCAGTTCCCATCTGCAAAAGCCCTTCAGCATTTGGTATAAAATAAGCTTATTGAAGACTTTCTGAAAAATATATATCGAACCTTCTATATCTACTGGTCACTATACTTCCCTTTTTCTTTCATAGTTTATCATTGTTGTAGTTAATGTTGTCATACGATAATGAATTGTACGTGTTGTAATTTTCATTTTCATTTTTATTATGCAGAGAAAACAACGGAGTGGTGAAAATTTTATCAGAAATGGAAGGATAGTCTCTTTGCGCGTGTCGCGGGTAAACTGACGCGGATAATTTTTTTTAAAGTAATTTTTTCCGGGAACTAATATTCCACTTGTGCAAAATTCTCAACTGCAATCAGGGCCGCAGCTATAGGCAGGAGGGGGTGTGACACCCCCTGAAAACGTCTTGTCGGCAAAATAACTGTTTTATCGGCAAATCGTTTTCGTATGATGAGCGAAAATGTTTGAGTGGCTCGGATTAAAAAGTAATAGTTATAGCAAAAATTTTGATAAATTTATGGCACAACAATTTTTGGGAAAAATATTAATTAGCGGCTGAAATGTTGTCGGCAATGCGATACTACACCCCCTGCTTCAGCCTCTTCGCTACGCCCCTGACTGCAACGTGCCATTCCGGAAAGTGCGACGTTTTCGTGTGTGTGAGATTAGTTAAATCCAAGCGGCTCCATCACGAAAACGAGACTCAGAGGCCAAAGTTACGTACCTTCGAATTCTGGAAGGGTCTATTGTTACACGGCAAATTACCTGCGCCTATATGTACAAGCTACAATTTACCTGGCCAGTATCTTCATGTTATTTAAGAAGTATATCATGTTCCACCATATGTTATAATAGATTCAATACATAATAAATCATGACCGTACATGTGGCATATTGTGTGTGTGCGGGGGGAGGGGGTGGTTGGGGGGGGGGGGGTAGAAAATAGTTGCTGCCGTAGCGAGCGAGCGTGAAGCGAGCGAGCGAGGCAGCAGTCCTAATCTTTATGTATATGTATATATATTGTAGAAATTCAGAGGAGGTCGGACAAGCAATTAGCGAGTTGTCACGTGAGCTCTCGACCAATGAGATCGCTCTATTTTCCATCGTGTTTTCTGCAGAATTTGGGCAGAAAAATTTGTATTCGACGGAAAATAAATCGAGAAAAAACATTAATATTAAAATTTTCTTGCAAAATTTCAAGTGTAATAGTACTACTGCTAATGATCTGGTGATATCTGCAAAAATCTCTAAGGTAAACGTTGTTTTCAATGTTATTTTGATGTTTGAAGTTAGACGACTCCCCGCGACGTGTTGACTCAAGTCTAAATATGTTTACAATGTTTAAAATGAAATATCTAGAATTCTCATGGTTCGATTTTCCTCATTTTTGGCAGCCATCAAGAAAAATATATAAGCTTTAAATCTGCTGGAATGATCCCGGTGATCCCCCGGCAGTTTTCGAGATATTGGCCATTGAAGCGACTATTGTCAACTCGACGCTCGCTAAAATGGTGTCTAATACCTTGGAAAGAATTTGCGCCATCAAAGATTATATTTTCAACGAATTTTTGTTAAAGTGTTAAAATATTATTTAGAAGACTTAGGAGTTGTTTCAATATTTTTGTAGAATTTATATCTGTGCGATTTTCAAAGTTTTTTTTTGTCTTTGGCCGTCGCGACTGGATCGTGTACATATTCCCATACGAGCTGATCGCCTGATCCTGGGGTTTTTGTTGCAAATCGAGCTACGGAATCCTCATCATGGACAACTCAGTGTTATAACAGCCCATTTCAAACCAGCAGAGAGATCCACTTGTTTTAAAACAATAAAACAAATTTTTATTGTATTGTGGTCAATTTATTGAAATTTAATAAATATGCACGAGTCAATTCCAGGAGTAACCATCAACCCCCCCCCCGGGAACACACCTGGGCATTTGATTTGACTGGTTACGATAGTGCACAGTTAATAGAAGTGTGCCGGGACACAACTAGGAGTAGGAGACTAATGCACGGCCCTTGGGCAAGCTGAGAGTGGAAAATGCCCCACCCCTGGGACGATGAATGCATATCATAGGCATATTCATTTAATAACATACTATTAAGCTGCTATGGAATATTATAAAACTTTATTCGCATGGCACAGGTAATAAGTTTTGCAAAGGTGAAACCATTTGTCAAATCCCCGGGCCCAATACCCGGCCCCTGTACACGTACCCGGGCCCAATACCCGGCCCCTGTACACGTATATGACAGGTAAATTCCCGACCCCTGTGAACTGTCTATTAGGCAAATTCCCAGGGGTGTCCCGGGGGGATGGTTACTCCAGGAATTGACCTGTGCAATTATATAAATAGACATCTTCTTGTTTTATTGTTGCATTAATTTTAATCTGAAAAAATTACAAACAAAGAAGGTCAAGTGCATGGATAAATTACTTATTTACTTACTAAAGCACATTTTTACAGTTATGTACTTATTTTGCATGAGTGTACATGACAGATTGTTTTAATTAGATACAGAAAGTTATCATTTATAACCCATGGTTTGTTTAAAAAATGCTGGAAAAAATCTAAAAAGTTAGCCAATTGAAATAAATGCACTTCAATAACTTGCTAAACATAGTTAGTTGCTATTATTTATATAAAAAAAACATCTGTCAACATACACTCATGCTTTTCCTACCACTTAATTAGTCTCCCATGCACTAATCATGTCTCTGCAAAATGTTTTGGATAAAATCCTATTTTAAAAAAGTCAATCCTATACTTGATATGCTGAACATATTAGACATCCACGACATCCCTTGCAGCAATTAATGGGTGCGGATACAGTGCATAGTTCAGAAGCAATATATAACCAACATGGGGCCATCCAGTTCCATAGTCTAGATCAATTGCTATTGCACTTCGGTCCCTTGGATTCAATGGCTCTAGCCGTATTCTTACATTCACTGGTTTATCTTGTTCATGAAGAGTGAGGTATGCCTTTTCCCACAGATGCACTTGAATGGTACAGCCTGGTTGATTTCTTCCTCCTCATCACTTAACTTGTCATCACTTTCTACCCTATCACCTCTTTCATTATCATATCCTTCCTGAACAGGCTCATGACCAGCCAACAACTCAAGTAAATCTCTTTCTACAAAATCATAACAAGAAAATTATTATATATTTCATGCACCGTCATCTCTAAAATTAGCAATTTTACACAATTAGCACTTTTTTCCATCCAGCAAACCTCCCTATCAATTTTCTAAAGTCTTTTTTATTAATTCGGTTAGGGTTAGAGTTGCGGTTAGGGGTTAAAGTAGGGGTAGGGTTTAGGTTAGTTACATAGCCATTTAACACCTCTTCTATCTTCCTAAAATGACGTCAGGTCAGTTTGCTGGATGGAAAATAGTGCTAACCATAATAGAACAACACACAAACAATATTTAGATGAAAATTGAAAAATATTAAACTACAGTTTGCACATTTAAACAACCATCCACAACTAGATACAAACAGGCATCATACTCAGCAAAAATTTATAAAATACATACAAATAACAATACCTTCAGACTCATCTGAAAACCAATGTCCATCATCAATTGTATTCGCTGTCAACTGATATGATCCACATGGAAATCCAAAAGCATATGCTGAATGTTTTCATTAGCAAACTCATCAGGAATAGGGTCAAACTAAAGGGTTGAATTTAATATTTGAAATATTACGCCATAATTTGTACAGTGTATTTATAAAATTACAGTACAATATTGAAAACTGCAAAGCGGAAATTTGAAACAAGTCAACTGTATTGCATTGTAGGATACCAACCTTAAATACTGCGCATGTTTTCACGATGATGATACACGGAGATTCCATCCAACTTAAAAAGAACAGCCTTGCTATTGGAAATAACACAATTTCTTCGCGGATTATTTATAAAGCTATAAAAAGACAGCACGTCCCATGCAATTTAATAGAAGGTAAACTTGGTACAGTAACTCACACGTCATAATGAGGATCGCAACAATACAGCAATAACATGCTATTTTCACGAAGTATCGCAGCCTGACAATCTTGTCTTTCGAATGCTTTCATATTTGTTTACTCAGAGAGATGTTCACTCCACGACAGTCAAAGAGTCATTGAAGCCACGCCTGGAATTAGGCGCTCAAACCCATGATGCTTTGCGGCCTGCTTGTCCGACCTCCTCTGGTAGAAATTAATATTTTTAGGTCAGTTTCGTACTTCATGTTAGCAAATTAGCAGTATTGCATTTTGATTGGTCATCGCAAATCATGTGAGTGATCACATGACAGGACAATGAACGTTTGAACAATAACTCAGTGTTGTATGTCAGAGAGAGACGCACGGGTGTGCAAATTTATGTCGCACATAATTTTAAATAAAACTTTATAAAAATCAAGAGAAGGTCTTGCTTTTTAAAGTGTATATGAAATGAAAATTTCGATATCGGGTTTTTTGCATTGTCTGAAAATTTGGTCTTTTGCGATCATAAAAATACAAACCTTGTTGAAAAATTCGAACCAGAAGTTTGTTAATTTTACGATTAAAGTTCGCTTTTTCGACTATCTACTGGCGAAAGACTGGTACCTAGAGTTCCGGGCGTTGTGACGTATGCAGTATGACACGCCGAAGTGTTTCACTATACGAAAACAACAAAATAACACGAACATCAGACAGTTGCCTTTATAATTCGCTATAAAAATGTCCGATAACTAAAGCTTTGAATCACAGACAGAGACAGAAGGGTCAACAGATAATGAGGACATCGCTGAGCAATCGTCTGTTGTTCAGCCATATCAATTTGAGCTAGTCGCATATAGTGACTACGAGGAAGACCAAACGGACGAAGACGGCACTCTTCATGATACTCTTGAGGCGAGATTTAAGAAAATTGTAGCTGTTAATTCATGGTAAGTAAAGTTATAAAAGTAATATTATATTAACCCGTTCCTCGACTATTTATTACCCTGTTTCGTCTGATAATGCGAGTTTATTTTAAGGTGCTCATGTGGACATTGTAGCGACGAATTATTGCAGGACGCTAGAGAATATAGATGCTGTAAGGAAATTTTGGAGTGCATTGACAAATTTACGTTCGAGGACAAGGACGCAGAATGCATCACACAGCACTGGGATTATGCACTAAGTTGAAAAGTTGAAAATGTTCTCGAGTGTGTATTTCATAATTTCCATACCCAGCGCAACTGGCCAAGCAGAAAGATATTGTCTGCCGCGGCTGAGTCTTGAACCCGCGACCTTCAAATTACTAGATCGACGCTCTACCAACTGAGCTACACGGTCAGACGGATTTATATTAAGACTGGAAATTATGAACTATATACTGAATGTCATAAACATACTCGTTTATATTAATTCAGCATGGAACCATACTAGTTCTGCAAGTGTTATGTTAGCCTATATGTTGTAATATGATAATAGTCGTCACCCATCGAACAGTAGCCTACCAGAGACGCAGGGGCTTTTCTCTGATATAAAGTCAGGGAAAAAGTATCATAAACCAACAAGCAGAACCCAAGATAATTAAATATCACTATTTCTTGTATATATTTGTATTCTAAACGATATCTTGTATTCTTTGTTATACAGTATGTCTATAATTTATCTTTTTATATGTATAGCTATATTAGTATACTAATGGGTAATAACAGTGACTTGACTTAGCCTTGGGTTTTGGTAGGCAAATCTTATATATATTCCGACCATACATAAGTAACTTCTTTAGTAGTATTTGCAAACATGAAATTAACGACTCACTGTTTGATTATTTAGATATCTTCGAGCAGTAGCATATCGTTTGATTATTTAGATATCTTCGAGCAGTAGCATATCGTTGGATAGTCAGATGATATTTGGCATGCTGGGATGGGAGAATTGCAGACCACTTCCAGCATGCATAGTAAATGCATAAAAACTGACTACACTGCTTTATAGGGTTACAGTAGTTATAGTACAGATGCAAACAAGATTGCGTGCGAGTGCTGGTGTGAGTTTCGTCACGTCGGTAGACGCGCTATCAGCCTGTCGCGCAAAACATGCACGCGTTTCTTGCCGAGGTTTTCTAGAGGCTCAAATTCTGGTCTATTTCGTGTACAAAAACACGCAACTTCATGTAATAGATTCTCAATGTGAACTTAACGAACGGTTGTGAGTGAAAGAATATAATGAAGTACTGAAGTAGAGCCCATCATTAGAAGTAAAGTCCTTTTTAATAACCTATCGTATTTTACCATGCTATATATATATATGCAATTCAAAATTTGTTAGTTTTGGAATGGTCCATACTCATGCTATGGTATGTCAGTAAATGTAGATATTTAGTATTAATTTCCATGTTATGCTTACACTAGTTACTACAATGTTTGCCATCAGCTATAGCCTAAGCCTATCTACATAATATGCGGTCTGAAACCTACAACGTAGATATAGTCTCTTGTCTCATCGAATTTGCATTTTAATTTTCGGCCGCTTATACGCTACAACTCGTCATGTTGTAATTATATTGTATACTATAGATTGAAAGTGAAGTCTACAGAAGGTGGATTCGTTTCAATTTTCTTCAAAATCTCTCAAAAACCCAATTCTACCCAGACGAAGCTATAATTTTCATAGTGTTTACATATCGAAAGGTCGCACTGTGTCATACTGCATACGTCACTGACCGCGCGATGGAATGTCAGGAATTTCGCCAGTAGATAGTCGAAAAAGCGAACTTTAATCGTAAAATTAACAAACTTCTGGTTCGAATTTTTCAACAAGGTTTGTATTTTTGTGATCGGAAAAGACCAAATTTTCAAAAAATGCAAAAAACCCGATATCGAAATTTTCATTTCATATACACTTTAAATGGAGCCCGATAGGGGACACTTGAACAATCTAATCGGTTAAAGAACTATAAGCCTATAACGGCGGTGAAATATTCAGACGGCGGCAGCGAACATTGTTGTTAATAGTGCCCTTCAAGTGTCATTCTCGCAACCTCGTTCTTCTCGGTGAAAGGTTGCAGATCTGTTGTCTTGGTAGAGGTAACTTCTTTATTTATTCGGTTGAAATTAACCTTAGGCTTTCTTTCACACTTGCGTATATTTTGCGTTGTAATTGTTTGTGTTTTTAGTGTATATTTGTTGTTTAATTGTCGTCTTGTCTAGTGACCTCGTGCTCGGTATATAGTAGGTTAATAGGATGGCGACTGATTTAGGCAAAGCTAAAGGTAGACTCGCCGGTCTTTCAGCTTATTTAAAAATTCTTTTACAAGAACTAGACCAATATGTTTCTTCTGAAGACTGTGAGCAAGCGAAACTTTTGGGGTTGAGAAATACTGTTTCGAGTATTCTTGAACAATTGGCTGTTGTTCATAATGAAATTATTAACATGCTTGATCCAAAAGAAATAGAGGCTGCAGTTGTCGAACATATGAAAGAGTTAGAACCCAGCTATCATGTTTTGGCGAAAGTAGACTTAAGGCTAGCTGCGTTTAATCAAAGTACGAAGCCAATAAATACCTTAGGCGCTTCATATGGTAATAACGTTCAGGCGCAGGGCAGCGCAGTGCATTGTAGATTACCTAAAATGCAATTACCAGAGTTTTCAGGAGACCCACTGGCATGGCAAGGGTTTTGGGACCAATTCCAAGTAGCAATTCATAGTAACACACGTATAAGTGACATAGACAAATTTAATTACCTAAAGGGATGTTTGAAAGGGGAAAGTTTATCTGCTGTATCAGGTTTAACTTTGAACTCAGAAAACTATCAGGAAGCAATAGAAATTTTGAAAGGCAGATTTGGAAATGAACAAATCTTAATATCTGCTCACATGGAGTCACTATTGAGGATCAGTAAGATAGCATCTAGGGATAATATTAAAGAGCTAAGGATGCTTTATAATCATGTAGAGAGTTGTGTAAGAAATTTGAAATCCCTTAAACTTGACACATCTGGTTACGGCTCATTGCTAATTCCAATCTTAAAAGATAGATTGCCTGACGAAATTACCATGATTATTTCCAGAAAATTTGGCGAGGAGATCTGGACACTTGATAAAGTCATGGAATATTTTAATAGTGAGCTTCGAGCACAAGAGAATTGTAGTGCATCCACTTCGAATAGATCTATCCAGAAAGAATCGCAAAGGAAGGGGGCATATTATACTACTAGTGGGTTGTTTGGTCAGACCAATAAGGTTGCATGCGTTTATTGTGGCAAGGAGGGTCATTCATCATCCAAATGCAGTAGTGTTTCGAATTGCCAATCCCGAAAGGCCATTCTCCGTAGAAACAAGCGGTGTTTTATATGCTTAGATACTGGACATATTGCCAAAAATTGTAAGTCCCATTACTTATGTAGGAAGTGTAAGACTGGCAAGCACCATATATCCATATGCGAATATACACCAGCAGATCCCCCAGGTATAAATCGGGAGGAAGATAAGAATGCAACAACTAATGATAACAAGGGTTTTGTAGTACATGCTGACTGTGATAAAAGCGGTATACTATTGCAGACAGCTAGAGCGGATATATTACCTACAGATGACAATGTGCAAGTCCAGACTAGAATTTTATTTGACAGCGGTAGTCAGAGGTCATATATATCTGACAAGGTTAGAAGTACACTGAAATTGAAGGCAATTAGAGTGGAGAAAGTTGTAATCAAAACCTTTGGGCAGGCTGAGAATAGTGAGGTACAGGAACTTGATATAGTTCAACTTAAGGTTAGAAATAAAGGTGATGCTAGATTTACATTTGTAGAAGCCCTATGTGTCCCAACCATATGTAGTCCGCTGACACATCAGCCCCTGTCAAGTGTGCATGAATTACCGGAATTTGCAGGGTTGGAATTTGCTGACTTTGAGCACAAGCAACACCAAAATCTTCCAGTCGGCATTTTGATTGGCATCGATTTTTACCATGTCTTTATGACTGGTAAGGTTATAAGAAGTAAATTAGGCCCTGTTGCATGTAAAACTAGAGTGGGATGGGTACTTAGTGGTCGAATTGGCTCAAGTACATCAGATATGCATTGTTTTGAAACACATTTGCTACGTGCTTCGGTGGAGCAGTCAGAGTCAGACATAAGCTTACGGCAAGAACTGGATAAGTTTTGGAATGTGAAGAGCATAGGCACTAAAACTGACAGTGTTGTTGACCAATTCGAAAATGACATTATTCATGACGGAACTAGGTACATCACAAAATTACCATTTAAACCTGATCATGAGGTGCTCCCTGACAATTTTAAGGTTTGTGAAGGACGGCTTAAATCACTAAAGAATAAGTTGGCTGTGAGTAACATTTTGCATGAATACAATCAAATATTCTCGGAGTATGAAGAAAACGGTATAATAGAGCGTGTTCCATCAGCTGAGGTTGCAAGGGAAACGGGGCAAGTACACTACCTTCCCCATAGGCCGGTTATACGCAATGATAAACAGACTACCAAAATACGTGCAGTATTTGATGCCTCATGTAAAGTCAGTGGTCCTTCTTTAAATGAATGCCTTTATTCAGGTCCTAACCTGATAGCTAAGATTTTTAACATTTTACTTCGGTTTAGATTGAATAAGATTGGGGTATTAGCTGACATAAAACAAGCTTTTCTAAATGTTGGTATAGATGCACAGCATAGAGACTACCTTAGATTTTTGTGGTATGATTTGCAAGCTGAGGATGAGCAGGTAGTAATTTACAGGTTTTTAAGAGTAGTTTTCGGAATTACGAGTAGTCCATTTTTATTGAATGGGACCATACGACATCACCTCAGTAATTACTTAGAGAAAGAAAGAGAAATAGCACAGCGAGTTAAAGATGATCTTTATGTTGATGATTTGGTCAGTGGCTGTAATAAACTTGAGGAGGGTAAAGCCCTATATGATAGAAGTAAGGCAATTTTATCGGAAGCCGGTTTTAATTTGCGCAAATGGGTCACCAATGACAAAGAATTAGCAGGGTACATTGCGTCAAGGGAAAACGGAGACAACAATTTACTAGATAAAGATAATGACATGACTTATTTTGAGGCAACGTCACCAAACATCACTGGCGAGCATCAAGTTGTTTTAGGTGTAGGGTGGGACACAACCTCTGATGAATTAATTTTTCGTTTCGACGATTTGATTTCAAAATGTGCCACCGTTAAACACACGAAAAGGAATATGTTGAGCATTTCTGCTTCTATTTTCGACCCATTAGGTTTCATTGCTCCAGTCACTGCCAAAATCAAAACCATTTTTCAGTTGCTTTGCAAAGATAAATTGGACTGGGATGAAATTATACCTGAAAAAATTGCGGATGTTTGACCAAATTTGTCGAGGAATTAAAACAGCTCGCGGAAGTACGGCATAGTCGGTTTGTGTTTACATCTAATTTTTCCTCCGGTAGTCGTATAGAGCTTCATGGTTTTTGTGATAGCTCTAAAGAAGTTTACTGTGCGGTTGTCTACCTACGGCTTGTCTATCAGGGCGCGGTCCATGTATGTTTTTTAGCTTCAAAAACTAAGGTAGCTCCCTTAAAAACACTCACGATTCCTCGGTTAGAACTCTTAGGGTGCTTACTCCTTAGCAAATTAATTCGCGAAGTACTCATAGGAGTTGAAAACCGAATTAATTTGCATGATATATTCTGTTGGTCTGATTCCGAGGTTGCTCTTTGTTGGGTTAATGGGAAGGAGAAGAGTTGGGAGCCTTGGGTTGAGAATAGGGTTGTGGCTATAAGGAAAGTGGTGGATCGTGAGAAGTGGCATTTTGTTAGGGGTGAGGTAAATCCTGCCGATATCCCTACTCGACTGTCTTCAAATTTAAAAGATTCTTTTTCAGGCTGTTGGTTTAAGGGACCTTTGATGTTGTGGTCACAGGAGTTGGAAGTTGACAGGGTAAAAGCTAGTTGTGGTAACGAAAACTCTTTGGTTGGGAGGGTTGATGTAGAAGTTCCTACTGAAGTTGTCAACTTCAGTAACACGACAGAGAAGGGCACGCCTAACAACAGCAGATGTTCAATTAGTGCTGTCATTGATTGTACTCGTTACAGTTCATTAAAGAAACTTGTTCTGGTTACTGGGTATGTGATACGTTTCATAAAGAACGTACGGAAACGAGTAAAGAAACAAGACGATCTGGTTTGCGAGGACGTATTGACTGTCAGTGAATATAACGCAGCGTCACACATGTGGATAAAGGACGAGCAGTTATTAATGAAAGAACAAGATAATTATGCCAACCTCTGTGCTTCACTTCGCCTATTTGAAGACAAAGATGAACTGTTACGACTAAAGGGACGGTTTGCTAATACGTCATTAAAGCATGAAGAACAACACCCAGTTATACTTCGAAGCAAAAACGATAGTTATTTCACTCGGTTAGTTATTTTGGATGCTCATGAAGCGACGTTACATCATGGCGTGGAAACAACATTGGCACATATTCGGCGCAAATTCTGGATTGTAAAAGGACGGAAAAGCGTAAAGGATGTTTTAAGGAAATGTGTTACGTGTACAAGATATCAGGGGCGACCGGTACGTGCTCCTGCGAGCCCTGATTTACCGCATTTTAGAGTGGATCACTTGGCGCATGCTTTCCAATTTACTGGTCTGGATTTCGCAGGACCTTTATTTGTGAAGGATG